AAATGATACAATAGCCACGATTATTATTTTAAAAAGTTTACATTAGGCTTAATATCGACGAAAATTCAACATGAAGTGACGTGCAACGGAGAAAAATTTCAACATGGGATAGGTTAATATATTTTTTCATACATAATCAGTTATCTGAAAAATAAGTTATCCGAACAACCCCAGTCCGCAATTGATTTGGATAAACGACGCTCTACTGTATTGTGTTGTTGTACACAATAAATGCACCCTAAAGAAGATATTTAAACTGAATCTTTGAGGAAAATATGTAAACTACAAAGACACTGAGTATATCTTGCTAGAATGGAGATCATGGTACAAAATTCCTTGCAACATAAGAGAATAGATCACATACCCTATATTATAGTGAATTGATATCTCTGTATTAGCTAGCATTTTTTAACATATTTTATTTAATCTGATTATTTGTATTAATAATAATTCAAAAACATAAGTAATTTGGTTTGGTAATTTTTTTAAACTTTAAAAGCTTCACATGATATTCTATAATTTGAATTGCATTTGAGACTTCTATGTTTCATTGAGAATTCTGTTACACTTCAAATTCTTATTTATTTAAAAAAACAAAGAAGACCATTGAAAATTAATGATTAAACACATTTGTGTTTGAAGAGAAAAATAAAATAGTTGTCGATTTAAAAACATGTTACATGTAACATGTTTTTAAATCGAATAGAATTCATATGAATAGAATTTAAGAAATTATTTGTCTTCTACTAATAAGCAGTTACAAGAATTAAAAGTGACACTTACTTAGTGGATATGGTTTGATTTTAATAGAATAATCTCTCATAATCAAGCCATATCCATTAATTATATCAACACACCTGAATTCTTTGCCAAGTATAAAATTATTTTATTTCTCTAACATTTTCAACCTGCTTAATATAGGTCATCTTCAGGCTTATGATTAAACCATTCCAAAATGGAACGCATCGTTATTTGAATACTTTTATTTTAAATTTAAAAGATTTACAATAATTGTGTATATTAAATTAATGAAAAATAAATAAATAACAATAAAAATAACATAAATAAATAAAAACATAGTAAACAAGGCTAAGTATAACTATTACAAGCTTTAAGGATTTTTAAGTCCCATGCTTTTTTCTATCATATACTTCCACGATGTTGGAACTGCATTAGCATCCTTGGCATGTATACAACAGTTTTTTTATTTTACTTTTATATATTTCCATCTTTTCCATCTTCAATGCAATGGATGGAGAGTGGATCGTTTTAATGACTTTTGCCTCATCCCATTTTAATTAAAATCACTAATATTGTGTTGTTGTGCCCTTTGTCAATGTTGTATTTGTGTTCTCATAGACGTACCACCAGGTTTATTCTGGTTACACCCACATAATCCTTTGCTACTCCTAACTGTTGATTTTCAAATGGTATTTTATATATATATCCAACTTTCTCTTCCATTTTTACACTGTCTTTATCATTCCTTAGTAAGCTATAGATATTGGATGCTCTTTTATAGACCATTCTTGAGTTTTTATAAGTAACCAATTCATTCATCACTCCTTTTATATGCTTATTGTATGTGAATTTGTTAATTGCATCTACTTTAGTATCTTTTTTGCCTTTGTTCTCTGTAACTTTTGATCAGGCCTTCAATTGTGGCGATTTTATAGCCTAAATTTGTTGCAGTTCTTTTAATTCTTCTATCTCGTTGAGATGGTCCTGAACATTGGTACAATATAAAATGCTGATAATTTATATTTATATGGGTCATTGGACCAAGATGATATGTAGAGAGGAGAATGCGTGGGTTTTAAATACATTGCTGTTTGTACATTTCCTTGTTTAAATCTTATATCAATGTCCAAAAAATGGAGATGAGTATAGTTTTTTTGTTCTAGTTTTAGTTTTAACCCATGACCCTTACTATTGATTGCAAGTAAAAATTCTTCAATCTGTCGATTATCCTTCCAAATTATAAACACATCATCTACATAATGTTTGTAGAATATAATATCCTCAATATATACTCAGATTCTTTAAATACTATGACACAAACACCTTATGTCTCTGAGAACCAATATTCATTGTTTTACAAATGTTTTCAACCTGATCTACAGGCCATCGTCAGATATTTTGAATTCTCTGGAACGTTTTTTGTATTGGTTCCAGGTTCGAACAATTATGTGAAAAGAAATTCAAATTTTTTTTTAAACTGTNTTTAAATAAATTATAAATTAAAAAGATTTTAACTATGATAATTAAACAAAAGTTAATGTTATAAAGTCTGTATAATTTCAAATTGTATTAAAAAAATAATGATTTCCTTTGTCAAATGTTTCTAAAATCATTAACTATGAAATACTAAACAATAGCTGACCTGATTTTATTATGTTTATTTTATAAACCACTGATAAAAGTTAACATGAATTACTTAGTTGTAAGTAGAGTAGATTGCATAACTGCTTCAAGAACTAACTACACTTGACTTGTTTATCAAATAAGTTGACACTTAGAGTAATTATGTTCTCAAATAATTATATATAATCATAATAAAATTTTATTATTAACAATATAAATGTTACAATAAGTGAGTAAATACAATATTTTATATAATTAAAATAGTTCCTATTTTAATCCAGTCTTTATTTGATGCCTACAGTCAAAATTCTTCCTCTGAAAGAGTATTTGAATTGATTTTTTGTTTTAGCTTTAAAATCTTTGAACGTAATTAATTCTTTCAGAATATTAAAGGCGGGACTTTGTGTTTTTGTAAGGTAAGGTTATGGACGACGGCTGCCGTTATTTAGTGTGACCACTATTTAGAGGTGAATATAATAGATGTCTTATTTGAAGGGTTTGGGGATCGTAAAAACTTCCGTTAAGTAGAGGTCTCTGCTGTTTGAGAGTGTCCGTTAATAGAGGTTTCACTATATATAGAAAAAATATTAATTAATTAAATTAAGGAATCCTGGAAAAAATCATTGTCATCATCTAGCAAAGTTTAGGAATATGGTTTGAGGTTGTGTGTATATTGGGATTGGTTGGGATGGTCATGATATGGGATTTCACAATTTGATAACCATATGCAAGAGATAGGCAGTAGCAGTATGGAAAAATATAATGTCATTTTGATGAATGTGCCATTTCATAACAGTTAATGAAGTCCAATTGTATTTGATATTGTTTTAAAAAATATAAATAAATTTTGTAATTTTTATGAATGTTGAAGTCATTTTAAAATTACAATATGCATTGAAATTAAACATAAGTTTTACATAAACCAAATTTTCTGTCATTAAATACAGCAGCAAGCAAAAACTGGATATATAAATAAAATCAACATATAATATCAAAATCTAGCAAAAACATGTAATGTATGTCTTCTGGGATTAGTACTTGGACAGCATCCATCAATCAATAAGCTCTTCTGTTTTTCAAGTTCAAACATCCATCATGTTCATTTTATTTTNTTTTATGAATTAATTTGATTTAAATTCAACTGTGGTGCATACTGAAAACGAAAATAGTATCTGCATGCGCAATGAAATGTAATTTAAAATAGCAATGTAATCAATTATTCATATCGTGGCATGGGGCAATCTCCGATCACTAACTTCTGAATTTCGTAGTCCTGTTGTTGATTGGTTGGGCTGTCAACTTTCTTTAACATAAGAAGTGTAGGAAGTTGATGACCTGATCTGTCAAGTAGCTTGGTCAGCAAATGGGGTAAAAATGAGTTTGGAATTTTGTTTGTAAATCAAATTGTTCAAAAAGAGAGGCATTGAAGCTTGAGATTTCACTCTATTATAAGAATTTAACATATAAAATATCTCTGTAAATTTAATTATTTAAAAAACAACATTTTTCCGGGAGTTTACATTTTTATTACTTTCCTGGCTCTGTTTNTTTTATGAATTAATTTGATTTAAATTCAACTGTGGTGCATACTGAAAACGAAAATAGTATCTGCATGCGCAATGAAATGTAATTTAAAATAGCAATGTAATCGATGATTCATATCGTGACATGGGGCAATCTCCGACCACTAACTTCCGAATTGGTAGTCTTGTTGTTGATTGGTTGGCTTGTCAACTTTCTTTAACATAGGAAGTGTAGGAAGTTGATGGCCTGATCTGTCAAGTAGCTTGGTCAGCAAATGGGGTAAAAATGAGTTTGGAATTCTGTTTGTAAATCAAATTGTTCAAAAAGAGAGGCATATGAAGCCCGAGATTTCACTCTATTATAAGAATTTAACATATAAAACATTTCTGTAAATTTAATTATTTAAAAAACAATTTTTTTCCTGGAGTTTACATTTTTATTACTTTCCTGGCTCTGTTTTTATAACAGAGGGAAAGTATGGCAATTGGNAATTCATTTTGAGTTCAAGTTTTTGATGTGTTAAATTTTAAATGTGTACAACATCAAAATATGTTAAATGCAGTAATATTAACATTGTAGTTTATGAAGGGACTGATAACAAAACTGTTAAGTAGTACTTTTCTTGTTTTGTTAGTGAAACATGATTCATTCTTGTAGTATGAAGATGCACTTGAGAAATCATAAAAACAGTTATTTTTTCTTCTATATTTTAAATATTATTTTGAATATCTTTCTAATAAGAAAATAAATTTCTTTGATACGCATTAAGATTATCTTTGTTTATATATTATATTTTTGTTTCTTACAGGCAGCCGATTTAACAAAACCTGTTGATAAACGTGTTTATAAGGGTACTTATCCGACGTGTCATGATTTCAATCAAGTAACTGTTTCGGCTGAATGCGTATCCCTTCTTGTGGGTTTTTCTGCAGGACAGATTCAATTAATTGATCCCATTAAGAAGGAGCTTAGTAAATTATATAATGAAGAGGTAAGTCAAATTAAATTTTTAAGTTGAGCTTTTGTTGTAATTTACTTATTTTTAATTTGAATCCTGAAATTCTGCAATAAATGTCATTTCGCTAATAATTTCTCTAAATATTTGAATACATATTTTGTATTAGAACAAATGAATCATCACTTTTATGTTTTTTTTTTTAATGTTTACTTTTAATTACCTTATTATACATTTGAAATTATTCCGAATTATTGTAATAAAACAGTCTCTACCACAATACTGGTGTAATTTAGTAATAAATACACATAAACACCAAAAACCCAGCATATAATGTACACATTTAAACAAAAATAATGTTTTCTTCCATTTTAAATGTTCATCATTAGGTTAGAAGATATGCAGATATTTAAATATATTTTAAAACTATTTTTTATCTTTTTAAATGAAAAATATATTCAATAGAAACTGAAATGTTTTTCAAGGAACTGGTGTAAAGATGTACTAAACTATGGAATATGTACAACTCAAATATCTTTAGAAAACATACAGAATGTGTATATATATTCAGAATGGATAAGGTGAAACAAAACATGTATTACCAGTATAAGCACTTCTATTAAAGTCTTTATTTCATATAATATAACGTACAATGATGGTACATATAGAATTTTGCACAAAGATAATGAACTGTTATGCTGTCTTTGGAAGGTAATTAATGATATTTGTTTTTTTCCTGCTGAGAATTTGTTGTGTCTGGACTGCAATCTTTATCTGCACTGCAGAGAATCTATAGTGAAGTTCAGAAACTGATGTGATATCATTTTATTCTGTTCTTCTTGCTATGTTAATCTAAAATTATCTCATCCAAAACCTTTAAATTTCCGGTACAAAACCAATATAGTCACTGAACTATATTCAGTGACTAAATATGTTTTGTACCAGAAATTTAAAGGTTTTGGATGAGATGATTTTATATATACCAGTATTTATTAGTGAAAATTGTTTGTATGTTAATCTACATGTCCAGGAGTTTGTCAAGGTTCCAAAACTATAAAATATGGTATCCTCTTGCTATTACAAGATGATGAAACAATTTTCGATAGTAATAGAACTTTTATAACTCAACTGACTGTGCAAATAATAAATATAGTAAATTTCCTTTTTGAAAAATGTTATTTGAGATGAAAATTCATTTTGAGTTCAAGTTTTTGATGTGTTAAATTTTAAATGTGTACAACATCAAAATATGTTAAATGCAGTAATATTAACATTGTAGTTTATGAAGGGACTGATAACAAAACTGTTAAGTAGTACTTTTCTTGTTTTGTTAGTGAAACATGATTCATTCTTGTAGTATGAAGATGCACTTGAGAAATCATAAAAACAGTTATTTTTTCTTCTATATTTTAAATATTATTTTGAATATCTTTCTAATAAGAAAATAAATTTCTTTGATACGCATTAAGATTATCTTTGTTTATATATTATATTTTTGTTTCTTACAGGCAGCCGATTTAACAAAACCTGTTGATAAACGTGTTTATAAGGGTACTTATCCGACGTGTCATGATTTCAATCAAGTAACTGTTTCGGCTGAATGCGTATCCCTTCTTGTGGGTTTTTCTGCAGGACAGATTCAATTAATTGATCCCATTAAGAAGGAGCTTAGTAAATTATATAATGAAGAGGTAAGTCAAATTAAATTTTTAAGTTGAGCTTTTGTTGTAATTTACTTATTTTTAATTTGAATCCTGAAATTCTGCAATAAATGTCATTTCGCTAATAATTTCTCTAAATATTTGAATACATATTTTGTATTAGAACAAATGAATCATCACTTTTATGTTTTTTTTTTTAATGTTTACTTTTAATTACCTTATTATACATTTGAAATTATTCCGAATTATTGTAATAAAACAGTCTCTACCACAATACTGGTGTAATTTAGTAATAAATACACATAAACACCAAAAACCCAGCATATAATGTACACATTTAAACAAAAATAATGTTTTCTTCCATTTTAAATGTTCATCATTAGGTTAGAAGATATGCAGATGGAAAGAAATATGTATTCTAAAGATAGAACACCACTACAAATTTAAAAATTGAAATTGCACACATCCACAGTGACAATATCATTTCATAACAGTTTCAGTTTTTAAATTTGTAGTGGTGTTCTATTTTGAGAATACACATTGCTTTCTATCTGCATATCTCTTAACCTGAAGATGACCATTTAAAATGAAGAAAATGTTTTTCTATTTAAATACATTATTTGCTGGCTTTGGTGTTTAGATGTTTTTATTATTGTAACAAAAGTTTATAATTTGAAAAATCATTAATGTTTTTAAATAAATTTATTTTTCTTTTGAAAGTATGCTTACTGTATTTAAATTAATATTCTCTTAAGAAAAATACTCTAGGTTCCTAGGATATAAATCTACAATTCTACTTTGATTTAATTTAGAAGATTGATGTTGTGAACATGATAGCAAATATGTGAGATTAGACTTAAAAGATGCCAGAAATTTAATTCCTAATGTCTTTTATAGTAAATCTCATATATTTACAGAGTAATTGGAATGCAGTTTTAAAAAGTTTGAAAAAGTAAACATTTGTCATAACTTTATTATTGCAGAAATTCAGAAAGTTCATTACTGTATTTCTCAGTTATTAGTAATTAAGTAATACAGATCAATTTGTCTATAAACCAACTTAAAGATATAAAAATAATTTACAAAAAACTTAAATCAGCGACAGTTTTATTTTTCTCTTCAAACACAAATGTTTTTGATCATTTTCAATGATTTTTTTTCAAGCATTTTCTTTTAATATAAGAATTTGAAGTGTAATGGAATATTGATGAAACACAATTCCAAATGCAGTTCAAATTATAGAACATTTTGTGAAACATTTTAAATTAAAAAACTTATGATATTAAATTACTTGTGTTCTTTGAATTATTATTAATACAAATAACCAGATTAAATTAAAATACATACAAAAATGATAGATAATACAGTAGAGTATCGTTTATTCGGAAGCCGGTCAACCGAAATGTCAGTTAACCGAAAGTGTTCCAGTCAGCAAATTTAAATTTCCGCTCGTGCTGTGGCGCTGCAACCTTTGGCTATGTTTTGGGCTACTCCAATATTTTTTTTGTTGCTGTGTGTGTTTTAGCTGGCAGCACTGGCACTTTTGTGTGGTGTTTTTCTGAGGACTTTGTGTCGTGCTAAATCGAACGTTTTTGATACTAGATTAACTTCTAAAGTATAATTTCTTTTGTTTTGATATTTTTTAATTTATTAATTTTGTTTGTAAACAATAAAGAAATAATTTTTAATGATACAATAGCCACGATTATTATTTTAAAAAGTTTACATTAGGCTTAATATCGACGAAAATTCAACATGAAGTGACATGCAACGGAGAAAAATTTCAACATGGGATAGGTTAATATATTTTTTCATACATAATCAGTTATCTGAAAAATAAGTTATCCGAACAACCCCAGTCCGCAATTGATTTGGATAAACGACGCTCTACTGTATTGTGTTGTTGTACACAATAAATGCACCCTAAAGAAGATATTTAAACTGAATCTTTGAGGAAAATATGTAAACTACAAAGACACTGAGTATATCTTGCTAGAATGGAGATCATGGTACAAAATTCCTTGCAACATAAGAGAATAGATCACATACCCTATATTATAGTGAATTGATATCTCTGTATTAGCTAGCATTTTTTAACATATTTTATTTAATCTGATTATTTGTATTAATAATAATTCAAAAACATAAGTAATTTGGTTTGGTAATTTTTTTAAACTTTAAAAGCTTCACATGATATTCTATAATTTGAATTGCATTTGAGACTTCTATGTTTCATTGAGAATTCTGTTACACTTCAAATTCTTATTTATTTAAAAAAACAAAGAAGACCATTGAAAATTAATGATTAAACACATTTGTGTTTGAAGAGAAAAATAAAATAGTTGTCGATTTAAAAACATGTTACATGTAACATGTTTTTAAATCGAATAGAATTCATATGAATAGAATTTAAGAAATTATTTGTCTTCTACTAATAAGCAGTTACAAGAATTAAAAGTGACACTTACTTAGTGGATATGGTTTGATTTTAATAGAATAATCTCTCATAATCAAGCCATATCCATTAATTATATCAACACACCTGAATTCTTTGCCAAGTATAAAATTATTTTATTTCTCTAACATTTTCAACCTGCTTAATATAGGTCATCTTCAGGCTTATGATTAAACCATTCCAAAATGGAACGCATCGTTATTTGAATACTTTTATTTTAAATTTAAAAGATTTACAATAATTGTGTATATTAAATTAATGAAAAATAAATAAATA